AGAGGCAGCCATACATACGATAGACTTCAAATAAAATTTTGCGCAATTAACTTCGACAATAAATTCCTTCACAAAATTTTACAGTCATATTACAGAGATCAATACACCATTTATGAGGACAGTCTTGGTATCCTTAATGTTAGTGAATAATTTTCTACAGAAAATTTATTTCTAAAATTAGGAAGGCAGTAAATAAGCGAAAACCTACGCGTGGTCCTGCAGGTCCAGATAAACCTTTTTCTCCCTTCATTCCAGGAAGACCTGGCTGCCCAGGTACACCAGCATTACCTGGATATCCTCGTGGCCCTGGCTCTCCAGGTTCACCCTAAAACGCGAAAATTTAGTTTTATTTCAACAGCGATAAAAATCTGAAGCTTTCAAGCTTAAATCGATAGACTAGAAAGCTGTTAGAATGCTGCACAATATAGCAAACAATATTTACCGAAAAACAATGCAAAATATAAGGTTTGAATCCATGCGTGTCGACAATCAGCCCCACAGCGAACTTTTATAGTTGATGAGGGATCGGCGCACGACAAGCTAGGCCCCGCCAGTATAGCATAACCTTTTTGTTCTTCCAGGCCAGCTTACTAACTCAAGTAGCCAGACGAATCCAAGAATGGTCGCCTCTCAGGTGATAAATGAAAATCAGGGAAAAATTTGTTAGCAAGAAGCCATATTTCTATAACTGTCATGCAAATTTGAATAAACGATAGCTAAATTGCTAGAAATTTTTGCATATTCTGTTTTGCCTGATATGTTTAACTATCAACCTCTCAAAATTTTGCATCGGAAACTGTGGCATCACAGAATGAACGCATCAGTTTTGGAAATTTTTTGATATCAAGATGTCCCAGTATCAATTTTTTCAGCCTCATTAAAATCGAATCATGATAAATCTAAGGCTTAATACACTTATGTGCAACAGCACATTTCGCAAGATATCCAAAAAAGTAATTTTTTTAGTCAGGATTTGACTGATCCATCAAAAAAAAGTTTTTTCTGATTTATGAAATCTGCTTTTTTTCTGCAGGTAAAGCAAAAAGCATGCATACGGACTAATATAATTACGACTGGCTCTAATACTAAAACTTGGGATCCCACAATAACTGTCCGGGGGGTCTTAGTATTCATCGTGAAGCAAAAAGGCGAAAAGAACTACGTGAGAGGAAGCTTGTAGATGGCCAGCGAAATCTAA